GCTTATAACAACAGCAAAAATGTTAATAAATACTTGTCTATGTGTTTTATTTTACGATAACCAAATACAACCTCTATGAATTATTTCGGATATTTATTTTTATCGCCATAGGTACCTACCATTTCTCTAATAAAAGTCTTATTAAGTCTTAAAAAGTCTTATTAACTCTTCCAGAAGACTCCCAAATCTTGCTATTAGTCTGACTTAATAAGACTTATTCAGACTTTTTCCGACTTAATAAGTCTTATTCTGACTTTTTCCGACTTAATAAGTATTATTCAGACTTTTTCAGAGAAAGTAAGACTTTCTCAGAGAAAAATTTCCACAAGGGATATTAAATATCTTTCTATAAATGTAGACAATTGTCACAAAAACTACTGGCTAACAACGTGAATAATAAACTCATTCACGTTTTTAAGCATCATTGATTGGCCAATTTCAATATTCACTGTGATTTTAAATGTTATTATAGTTCTTCCAATTTAAAACCCGATTGGTTGGTTTTAAATTGGAAGAACTATAATAAGATTTAAAATTGGTAAAAAGTGAGGTTAACCATTTAACAGATGTCAGATTTTATTTATTTAATTTTAAAAATAATTTAATTATCCACTTATTGGAGCAGTTATAGTATAGTACTACACTCGAGATTATGCGCAATTTTCACTCGGATGATTTAGGTCTCTCGTCTGGCGACTCGAGACGTAAACCTCGTGAATAATAGCCTGCATTATCTCTCGTATAATAATATACTATTTGGACTATTACCCATTTTGACAAAAATTTCGCAATAAATCAATTTTATGAATGATTAACAGCTGAGTTTTGGACTTGCCCTGTCTTAATTTGATTGTTTTTCTTACAACGTTTCGATTAGTAATTATCTCTAATGGTCTTCAGGTAATAACTGAAGACAATTTAAGATAATTACTAATCTAAACGTAGAAAAAACAATCAAATTAATGCAACCAAGTCCAAAATTCACCTGTTAATCATGCCCAGAAAAATTTCTCCAACCATCACACGTGCTGGCTATATGAACCTCAATTGATGAAGCATATATGTGACATACATGCGGATTAAGCGCGTCAATTATGAACCTCATAATGTTATCTGGGTAGTGAAAAAATAAGGGATAAAAAATCAGTCTACATAAGCAAATGATTTGTTTTTTTGAGCAATTTATAAACAATTCACTACACAGCAAACGGAAAAATATAGAAGTTTATAGGATGACTCCCCGTTTGAATACTAAATCTTAGTTTTATCACAACTGTATTGAATCGTGCTTTGTTTTTATATTTTTCGTTTTTATACCTATGCACGACTATAGTCAAACTCAATGGTGTCTTACAAGATACATTATTTTGATTTTCTATATTCAACAGAGAGGTAGAAACTCGACCCTGTCGAATGGTGCAGTCATTTATGTCTAGAAATTATTAAAAAAGGAAGCAATCCAATGGTGTAGCAAGTTGCTACTAGCAACTTCGGTTTCTTATTCTCTTCAAAGACATGGAAACTTAAGCTTTACGAATTTTACTTGCAATGATTTTCGTTAATGTATCTACTCTACAAAGTTATAGAAACTGGAGTCTCTCTAATACGGTTCTAGTCAATATTTCTGAGAGCATAAAAAGATGGTGTAATTCAATATTGCAAGAAGTTTTGATCTTTTGATGGATGCAAGTATTTTGAATATTCGCATTTCTACATATGATTTTGTTGACATATATATATATTCTCATTTCTACATATGATTTTGTATATATATATACAGTGCTTGCAAATGCAAGTCCGACCGCGTTGGGAAGAATGGTTGTTCAATACCCGCGTGAAAAGAATAAGGATAGAATGCCAAACAGAATTTGATTGGTCAGAGCGCCTTCTGTTTGGCGTTCTATTCTTGTTATTTTCACGCGTCCTTCCCAAACCGGTCGGACTTGGATTTGCAAGCACTGTATATATACTAGTGTGTTTAAAAAAAATCGACTTTTTCTTTTTCTTCAAATGGTCAGCAAATTCTTTCAGAGGATGTCAAAACAAAGACCTCGTTAAAATTTGAGCTTTTAATTTGAAGATTTAGAGGTCGCGGATCGCAATTTTCTATTTCCCATTTAAATAACATAGGACATTTTTTTTTTAACTTTGGAATTTTATACGTCTATATCGAATCAACTTATGGCAAGGAACATCTTAGATTTTTATAGTAAATTTAACGCTCTATAAAAAATGTCTCTTATAATTTTTCTATAAATTGATTTCTTCCAGAGTTATTCGAGGCCAAAGTTTGATTTCCATCGAATTTTCTCGTTTTTTCAACTTTTAGCATCATGTAGTTAAAAAAATCACATATTTATATCTGAAACATAGGAAGTGTAAAAAAAAACAAAAAAACAAAAAAAACGTCACTTTTTTCCAAAGCCTACTACAAAGTTTTAATGAAAATATGAGATGTGTATAATATGCAAAGTAATTTATTTATAAATGCATTTTTCTCGAAAATGGTGCATCTGAGCAATTCAAATCAAGAGTACCTATTTTTCGTAAAAAACTATAAATTCTCATAATTTCATAAAAAAAATATAATTATTAACCCAGAAAAAAGTTGGGGCTATTTTTGTAACTTTGCCCCCTCCAAATGTTACGCCTATGATTAAATTTTAACAGTTTTGATCATAGATCTAGATTCAGCATGTCAAAATTACCAAAGTACCTACCGAAAATTCATTTGTTCATGTTCAACCCTCTAGGAATAGTTTAAAAAAAATTATCCTCTTAGGCTCCTATTCAGGGGGCCGTAGCTCCTTTAGGAAACATTTTTTGATACATGTTTATTAAACAAAAAAAGTGTTATTTTTATACGAATAATGCACTGTTTAAGTTTGGCCCCCTGATTTCGGGACACCCGTATAATGATAATTGTACCATAAATGTTAAAAAAACGCGAAAATTCGATGGAAATCAAACTTTGGCCTCGAATAACTCTGGAAGGAATCAATTTATAGAAAAATTATAGGAGACCTTTTTTGTAGAGCGTTAAATTTACTATAAAAATCTAAGATGATCCTTGACATAAGTTGATTTGATTCAGACGTATAAAATTTCAAAGTTAAAAAAAAAAATTCCCATGTTATTTAAATGGGAAATAGAAAATTGCGATCCGCGACCTCTAAATCTTCAAATTAAAAGCTCAAATTTTGACGAGGTCTTTGTGTTGACATCCTCTGAAAGAATTTGCCGACCATTTGAAGAAAAAGAAAAAGTCGATTTTTTTAAAACACCCTAATATATACAATGTATATATTAGGGTATATTATACATATACATATATACATATATATATAATATACATATACATATATATATATATATACATATATATATATATATTTCCAAGTTAAAAAACTTTCCCTGCTCATAAAATGTGACTGAGTTTGATAAATAAATTGACTAAAAAACTATTCCAATTTTATTTTGTTCTCCTTCCCGCAACCCCCAAGGAAAAGAACACCCACACCCCCATCCATTAACCACTGCTACCAACCAACTGTTGATGAGCGCCACACGTCAAAATAAAAGCTGCCGGCCCTGGCCCTAATTATTTTTCGAAATGAAGTCGGCGCCACCTGGTCTACTAATAGAGTAATTGCATCAAAAATGAAAATCCCTAAAAACCTTTTTATTGTAATCTAGAGGTAAAAACACATTGCGAAAATATTTTTTTATATTCCAAAAGTTTAACCCCGGCCCAAAATATCAAATTGAAAAAAAGGTACTTTTCAAACGTTCCGAACTCCCGCCATATTGCATGACGTCATAAGCTCCAACTGTCAGAAATCAAGATGTCAACAAATAATAAACACCGATAAAGTTTATGTTTAACATGGAAAACGCGAAACCAAAAATTGGTTGTAAATATTGTTTTGTGCCTTGTACAAATACAACCTGGAAAACTCCTGGGAAAAGGTTTATCACCGTGCCAAAAGGGAAAATAAGGATAAAGTGGATTAAAATAGCTCGGCGCGATATCAAAACATCGTCACCGCAGTCAACATTTTATTGATCATTTTAAGGATCATTTTAATGTAAGTAAAATAAAATGTCGTTTACTAGGTATATGGTTTGAATAGGTATGTTAAATATTAATAAACCCAAGAAAATACGGCTGAGCCGTAACTACTCTCAGTGTATGGTCATAAACTTTGCTTTTGATAATTGAAGGGACAACTTTCCCAGGAGTTTTCCAGGTTGTATTTGTACAACAAGGCACAAAACAATATTTACAACCAATTTTTGGTTTCGCGTTTTCCATGTTAAACATAAACTTTATCGGTGTTTATTATTTGTTGACATCTTGATTTCTGACAGTTGGAGCTTATGACGTCATGCAATATGGCGGGAGTTCGGAACGTTTGAAAAGTACCTTTTTTTTAATTTGATATTTTGGGGCCGGGTTGAACTTTTGGAATATAAAAAAATATTTTTGCAATGTGTTTTTACCTCTAGATTACATTAAAAAGGTTTTTAGGGATTTTCATTTTTGATGCAATTACTCTATTGAATCATGGCGCTCGAGCCAGTATGGACGCGACGAACATCACTTTCGACTTTCAAGCGACTGGTTTGTCACATCCACACTGGGGGGACGACATAATTCGTTTTAATTTGATTTCGATTCGACATAGTGTGGACGCACCTTTACAGCACCATTATGATTGCAGCGAGATATATACCTTGAAGAGCTTATACTCTGTAGGCGATGTAGACGATGAAAAACTTCGAAGTTTTTTATTTTGTATTCGTTTTTTACATATCAAGAATCCAAAACAGATAAGTGTGTAAAATATTTCATTTTATGGTAATTAATCATGTAAAAATATAAATTTTTTGATCTATAGATAATAATTTATTTTCATGACCTGAGGCATAAAAATAAACTATTTTCATAATATATAATAGTATAATAAAAAATAATTAATTACATTTTTGTAGTTTACCTTATTTTTAATTGAACTTTGGTTGAATTCTTTAAAAGTCATTACCGATATTAAATCATTTTGGAGTAAAAACTCAGGCATGTCATCTTTTAAACAGCTTGCAATAGTTTTAGACTAAAAAGATCCATATTTAATAAATAATAAAATTAAAATCTTAGGGTGTTCCTGTAGGTTCTCCAAATTTGTTTTTCGAATATTGAGCATGTCAACTGCGGTAACAGCTTGGAAAACTAATTGATTATAATAATTATTATTGTAACAGTCTTATATAGCGAATATGCTTACAATCATTGCCACTACTTTTTCGATTTAATATCCAATACGGTACCAAGAGAGTATTAATTGTTTAAGGGCCAGTATATTTACCTTCCTTTAAATTTAGTAGACAGATAATAGTCAAAGTTACAATTGTTAACATAATTGTAACTATGACAATTAAACATTGGGTAAATTTAGTAAAATACTGGCCCTAAAGCAAATAATTCGTCTCGAAATTCAGTAAATAAGACCGACGGGTTATTTTCGGTTAAAAATGTTAAGTTCCACAAATAATTTTAAAAGAGGAAAACATAGCAGGACACCCTATATTTAAGTTTACCTTAAAAGTATTTAGGAGCAATTGAGTAAAACAAGACAAATACTCTGCAGTTCCTTTTAAATGATCCGTAAATTTAACATAAAACCCATCATGAATTGCAGTATTCGTGGCTGCCTGGTACAAAGTGTTAATTGGCAAACCAACATTATGGTCATTCTTACCATAACTTTCAATCAAGTAAGTTACATTGCTTATGCCACATCTTTTCAGTCTAAATTTTTGCTCGTAATATCGATTATCTTTAATACTGTGAGCAAAATCATCCATTCTTTTCCTTTCAACAATGTAGGGCAAAATTAAGTCAATTGTTGATGTTTTACTTCTGCAAATCCAAGTGTAATCGCCAACTTTCAAATTTCGAACTTCATATGGGACCTTGAGGTGTGTCAGTTCAGCTATTAGAGGATCTTCTTGGTCTCTCTTCTTGCTAAAATTTATATTTTATAAAAAAACTCGTTTCAAAATTAGGGATATGAAATTTTTAAAATATATTTAACGTGGGTTAAAATTCGGCAAGTGACCCGCCAAAAATTTGGCTAAGTGTTATTAATAAGATGTAATTTCTGACCCTTTTCTTAAATAAATTTCGTAATAATATTTAAAAGACAATAAATTTCCAAAAATCCCGAGTTATTATTAATTTAATAATTTATTATAATTATTTTCTAATCAAAAATAAAAGTTTTTTGTAGGCATACTATCAGGGGCGTGCTGGGCTGCCGGGACACCGGGCGAATGCCCGGTGGCCTGCGCTACCATGGTGGTCTGCTGGACTTGTTATGGTATGCAAATAGGGTATACCAAACAAAAAGTTTTTTCAAGTTGTATCACTAAACACTAAAATAAATAAAAAAAAAAAAGTTTTAATTGACTCCCGTAAAAAATCTAAAACACGTATTTTTTATGCTAACCCTTAACCAAGAAGTCGCAGGTGGAAACCCTAAACCGTGGGGATATTTTGGATGTTTTCGTAATTATTTTTCAGTTTTTTTTGAAAATCCAAACTGATCCGGGGCCACTTCGATAAAATGCAATTTTAGTAAATTTATAAATTATCGGGGAGATCAGCTCGGATTTATAGAGAAAGAAACATAATTACAAAAGCATCCAAAAAAGCCCCCTCTCGCAGTTTTTGTCTTGATTTATTTGTGATAATACTTTCCTTTAATAACAGCTCCCAGATAGCACAAGATAGCCCACGGACATCCTATTTAGGTTATTCTCAGCTTAGCCAGGCCGAACGGGTTTGGGACATCCATAGGACGTCAAGTCTAGACCCAGTCCGGCTTAGCCGGACCAGGTCTAGACTTGACGTTCTATGGATGTCCCAGACCCGTTCGGCCTGGCTAAGCCGAGAATAACCTAAATAGGACGTCTCTTTTCACACAGCACATGTCCAAAGGGCGTCCATTGGACGTCCTTTGGACATCTTGTACTATGTGGGTTGGCCTAAACTTTTAGGTCAAGCAATTTTCGGATATGTAATAAATTATGAGAAATATCATGTAAGTACGAATTATATAAAGCACCTATTTTTATGAGGTTACTCTTTTGCCTTCTTTGGATGTTGGTGGGACCACAATCCACACAACAAGGTCTGTTCGATCTTTATTCGCGCATGTTAAAAATCACAAAATTAGGCAACCTAGTATACATTCATACGTTAGTCGACACTTTTATTGTTTACAATTTCATTGTTTGCAATTATTGTGATGTTTTATGCGGATTTGTAATAGTTGTTTGGTTTTGTTCTTTATTATTGTGGATTATAGTGTAAAGTACTTTGGTTAGTGTTTAAAAATTCTTCTTTTGTTAGTGTGCTTCTGTTATTTTATTGGATTATTGTGGATTTTGTTGACTGTACCAGTGTACTTTTGTTTATTGTGCAAAAAATATTGTTTAACAAGTAAGTAAAACTATGGTAAAATGTTTCTCCTATTTATATATAAATTTATTTATTTAGTGGCATGCTGTATGGTAAAAACTTGCAAGAATAATGGCAGAAATAGTTATTTCACATTTTACAAATCTTATAATGTTAAAAAACATTTCCAGTTTCTTTAAAACTTAAAAAAAACTTTGTTTACTTCTTCCATGCCTGTTAGACAGAATTACTATATTGGGTAATTTAAATTAACGGCGGCAAATAAATCAAATATTGCGGAAGCCGTATGTGCGCATAACAGTACCGATTTTCGTTCGTATTTTAAGAAGATCGAACAGACCTTGTTGTGTGGATTGTGGGTGGGACAGCCTGAGGGGGTCACAGAGAGACAAACAAATCAATAAGCCTTATTATAAGAAAGATTCATTTACAAAAAACAGAAGTTTATTATTAAATATAGTTTATAATATCTATTCGTTCTTCAATCGTTTAAATTATTTAAATATACCTATATAAACACCGGTATTATAACGAATAGTTTTGAATTTAAAAACATCGGTCTTCTTCGGGTAGAACCGAACGGGTTCGTGACGACGTTTCCCATAATCCGTTGCCAATGGCGTTCTTTTTCTATGATGGCGTATATGGTGGTAGTTCTTCTCTGCTCTTTGGAATTTATCGGAATTTTCCAGAGGTAAAGATAAAGTGACCATTCGTCCCGGATTTTGCGGGACAGTCCCGGATTTTATCAACATGTCCCGCAAGAGTAAACGTCCCGGAAACGTCCCGGATTTTTCGTTTAATCACACAAAATAATACATATGACAAAAATATAATAGAGTTACAAATTCGTACACAAAATAAAAAAACTGTTTCAGTCGCTCTTGAGAAAAAAAATACACGTCACTTTGTCATTGGTATTAATTTTCCAAAATGTTCCCTTTCATAATATTAAAATAATTGTAAAATTATGCTTATGTCTACCAGGAACTAATGATCCCACCGAACGGGTATTTTCTGAAATAAATAAAATGTGGACCTCAAAAAAAAAACGCAACTGCCCGTGGAATCATTAAAATGTATGCTGTTTGTGAAATATAATTTAGAGTATTCTTGTGAAGAATTTTATAATTCTGTAAAGAATAATGATGGCCTTTTGCGTAAAATTAATTCGGCAGAAAAGTATTTGTAAGTTATAAAAAAGTTGTATATTTGTAAAAAAATAAATGTGTTTGGAAACGAGTACCTAATTTTCAAATACCCCCATACAATTGTTCGAAATGTATTTACCTATATATAAAATTCTGCATTTTGGAATTATGTGCATATTATATTATTTAAATAATAAATTATGTTTACGATTTTTGTTTTCTCGACCTCCCCCTCCCATTTCCCCCCTTAGCCCATTTCCTCAAAATTATTTTCGCCTTCACATCGGCAAAATGCGCCTGCCACGGACTTTTCCGCTTTTGGCGTATTTTTTTTTGGATTTGTCCCGGATTTTGTATTTTTTGATGTGGTGATGTGGTAAAGAATGTATTTAAGTGCAATTAGTGCTGTTTCGTGCTTTATTAATAATTTTCTTTTCATAAACAACAATTGTATGTTAACATAAGCAGCTTGAAGATCGTGTTCATGTTTTGTCTTTGCCAACGACTCCATAGAAATTTTCTTAGAAGTTGGTTGTACCCAGACGTATAATAAAATCGAGAATAAATTCAAGTAAGTAATTTAATTAGGTTTGTCTTGACTAATAGACTGTACCACAAACATTTGTGTTTTATTTTTTATTCCTGTCAGCCAAATTATGGCCACATTTGGTCCTAGGACGGTCTTTAATAGACCATAATAGGACGGCCAAAGGCCAACCAAAAGTGTCTACTTTGGAAGTCCTACGGACGTCCATTCGTGGTCTTCGGATATCCGTAGGACGTCCTCTATGTCCTGAGTTGACGTCCTAAGGATATCCAGTGGACGTATGTGTGCTGTGTGAAGTGACGTAAATTTGGAAGCTTTTATGCTGATTGCTGTGGAGAGAAAGGTAAAAAATTGTTTAGATTGTGACTTTATAATTGAACTAGCTGAAAACAGTTCTTTGTTGCGAAGAGAGTTATCGGGACATTTTATCAGTCGAGGTATTTAATTGTGATGTATTTTTACAATTTATATGAAATTGGCTTGGGCCTGGACTGCTCTACCATCTAGTCCAGGCCTGCATTGATTCTGCCAGCACGCCCCTGCATACTATAAGAAACATTAAGACACACATTTTGCATATTTACCTTTTTAATTAATAAGCGTTTTACTGGAACCTTACAAAATTTAGAAAGTACCAAGTTTTGCACTTCTCATTATATAAAAGTAAAAATAAGTAAAAATGTCTCAAACGAAACGCCCAAAAGAATATTATTTGCGAACGTTTCCTTAATAATAATTATTATAAGATCACATCACAATTTTTTCAGATGTACATATGTATGCATTTACTAGGTTAAATAATTGTTTATTTATACATAATTTATATGTATGTATTTACTAGGTTATGTATGTATGTATTTACTAGGTTAAATAATTGTTTATTTATACATAATTTATAGAAATCATTTTGAATTAAAAAAATAAATATAAACAAAAATTCGCAAATAAAATTTTGTTTATAAAAATAAGAAGTAACTTGCAACGGAATTATGCCACCTGTCCGTTTTAAAAATGTTTAAATCAATATGAGAGGCGGAACTTAAATTATTTTACCTTTAATAGTATAATAAATGTAGAATAATAATTCAATAATAAACCTTGTAAAGAGCTAGAATTTGTAATCTAGTCATTTTTAAAGTAGCATACATTTTTACAAATGAAGGGGTAAGAAGCAAAAGGCTACAAGTGGAAAAAAATAATTGGAGTATAAACTTTTAAGTTTTTGCTATAAACAAAAATCTAGATAATCGTTTTAATATTGTTGTTTGCATTAATCAACATGCAGAACTGGTACAATTTTTACGTTATGAGAAATTAAAAAAAAAATCCAAGGTACCTCAACACAAGAGACGATACATTGCATGGAAATTATCTCTGACAACCATCAAAACGCCACGCAGATTAAGATCAATGAAGCCGAACATAACACAGGTACAATCGCAGTCACGGTTAATGACACGGAAAGCTAAGAGGGTATATAAACAACGATCAGCGGCAACGGAGATCACTCCACATCTAACTCGCAGCAGAACAGCAACAGCAGTCCAGCAGATAAGACCTGAGATGGTACATGAGATTGTACCGAAACGTCGTCAGACATACGGTTCTTTTAAGAACCAAAAGAAGTTTGCAATTTATTTAATTCAAAGTATCTAGCTCGACCTAAAACTCGTGCTACGGTTAGTTAAATTGAACGGAAATACAGAGAGATTGGACTGGTCAAAGATATTCCAAAACCTGGCCGTCCGAGTATTAGTGAAGACACTAAAATTGACATTTTGTTACATGTGGAGAAGATCTTCACAGTGCTTCTAACCTAGTCGCAGCTGAAAGTCAAGTCAGCC